TTGTAACCAAATTTGGTTGTCAATACTAAATAGAGTTTTATAGGAATTGCCTAGCACCGTATCACATCTTTACTCTCGTTTGTTTAATTGCTGCAGAGAAGGCAGATGTTTACAAGCTTTCAATAGGGAATATGCAGATAGTTGTGCACTGAAAAACTGATTAAGCATGAGGTTTGGTGTTTGGGGCAGCTATGGATACTGTTACCTTTAACACTTTTATTCCAGAAGGCTTTGTGTATACAGAAGTCATGGAACATTTTGAAACGTAAAAGGGGGTGGGGGAAGAGTTTTCAATCTGCAGCAGGAGAATGCACAGAATTTACATGCTCAGAAATGAAAATAAGTTCTTTAGTGTCAACAGTGTATTTGAAACACTTACCACAATCAATGTTTTCCATTTTTAAATCCAAAGCTACTTCACCAAGTATCTGTCAATATACCAAAAGATCCCTTATCTTTCAAAATATCCAAAAGTACCATTGGTATTATATATTTTTTTCCTTTCTCCTCCTATGTTTAGAGTATGGCAGGAGATGATAAATATGATCTTGTTTTAACCCAAGATAGGTACTCTACCACAAACAGGGTTTGTACCCTTTTTCAGAATCACATTTAAAAAAACTTTTCCAGGACTTTTCCAGGACTCAGATTTCTTTTTCCAGGGCACCAAATTTCACATTAAACCAAAGATTTCAAAATTGATTCTCCTCATGATCTACATACATTTCTTAAACCTCAATTCAAAAAACTTTGTTGCTTGTTAGTTAAGAAAATTTCCACAACTTTCCAGGAACTGCAGTCTTTTTCAAGGACTTTCCAGGTTTTCCAAGACTTGTATGAACCCTGTACAGATGGCCTTTCAGCATTATATCAAGTTTTCTTAAAATAGTTTGTTAGTTGCCATTATTTTTCAACAGTGAAGGGAGACAAGCGAGAGTTAGTATCTTAACTGTAACATAGAAACCACAGCTAACTATGTAATTAAATTGTAACTAGAAAGGACTGGACCATAGTATATTCTGCCCACATACCTTATGTGGAAATGCTCCAGTCAATCTGACACTTATTTAAAAATAGTAAAAAGATCCCAAAAGTAACCAATTACTACATGTGGAATAAAACTTCTCAGTATTTTGTGTTTTACAGACTGTTTTTCAACCAAACTTTCACACATCTGTAAAAAAATATATAAAAAACCAACCTGTTTCAGGTATTGTTGACTTGCTGTTTCATCATCCTCATCACTATCAAACATGTTTGACTTGGGTTGATTTGTCAGACCTGATAAGTACAAAATAATTGATTTAAATAATAATCTCCATTTTTTTTACATACCAGGTTATTTATTACAAATACCTCTGATCAATTATTAGTACTTTATATAGGTTTAAACTAGAGTTTAATTGGAGAGGTCACCCAGAGTTATTAATGAGATTTTAAAAAAGTTCTACCTAATAATAAGAGAGCCATGTACATGTGTCACATAAGAATCTTTTGTGATGTATCTTAACCCTTAAACTCCCAAGATCTGATTGTTAATTCTCCTCTCTGGCTGCTACCAATTTCCTTGTAAATTAGTTATGAGTACTTGGTGCTAGATCAAGATAGCAGCTTCTACCTGATAAGTTTGAATATTCTCATTACCTGTTTGCTGAAAAATGTATGGATGTTATAGGGAGAAGTTTCATGTTAATCACCTCTGGGAGTTAAAGGGTTAACCCTTTAATAAGAGACCAAGACAGTGTTTCTCCTTACAATATTAATACATTACCTAGCAAAGAAGTAATGGGAATATAGAAAAATATAAACCAGGGGAAATTATTAGTTGATCAAATACCAACTTCTCCAGACTATACTGTAACATCATAAAAGTTGTATGGCAGACAGTAAGGAAAGTTACTAAAGAGATCTTGGGAGTGAAAGGGTTAAGTGAGATCCATGACTTACATTGTAATTTATTGCACAATACAGAGTTAATATTGTGAAGAAATTCCCTATTACTGAATTGTAATTGTAAAAGATACTGCCTAGCATTTTTAAATCGAAGAAGTCAGATTTCTTGTAGAGGTCTCAACCACATCTGAGAGGGTCTGAAGATTCTAAGACACTGAAAATTTCACAAAACATCCCAAAGAATTTTGGCAGGAAATCCCCTTCACTGCCCTTCCCTCTAAAATTAGAGGTTTTAGGACTAGATCAATTTTTTTTCAAATTCACACATATCTGTTAAAACACAATTTTTTTCATTTGATATCAGGAACTGGTCTGCAGTTGTGAGCTGAAGTGAGATTAAAGTTTCTACAAAAGATTAAACACAAATTTTTTAGGCTTCTTCTTTGCTGACCACAAGCACTAAAATGGTGCTTGCCAACACTCAATTTCTGGTTGCATCGGTGACTAGCTGCTGGTAATACTGGCTGGTTACAATTTTGGACCCTCATTCTATAGTTATCCTTTCATTTTAAAAATTATACTCAAGCTGAGTAACAGCACACTCACTTGGATTGATGCCTTTCAGCTTAGCAAGTCTCTCTTCAATTTCCTTATCAATGATACTACTTTTGGCTGTTGGATCCTCCTCAGCAAGTTTGTTTTCTTCCAACATCTGTTTCATCAAATCACTTACCTCTTCTATTTCAGATTTCTTTGGCTGAAGGGTATTAATCTGTTGAACAAGGAAGTATTTACATGAATGTTACTTAAGAAAAAAACTCTTCTATGGCTGAAAAGAGATGAAATAATGAGTTACATGTGACTCATTTAACTCTAAGAGTGACCATCATCTGCTTCATCTCATTTCTCCTTAGTCAGCAGACACAAACAGTACTCTTTGGAATCTAAAATTGCCGTCAGTGTCATATACATCAAACTACAATTTCAAAGGGCAGAGAGGAAAACTAATGGTTTCTAAAGCAACCACCTGCTTTACATCTTTAACCAAGTAGCTGATGAAAATTTTGTAGCTACCATAACCACCATTGTAGTCTCCAAAACTAATATTTTTTTTCCAAAGGAGTGATAACATTGACATTTTATCCAAATGTTATTTACATTTGAGTTCTGCAGTGAAATTGCCTTTCTTCCTGTGAGGTTCTCAAACCTTTCTCCTAATTGTTGATCTGTTATTTGTGATATTGAAGAATTATCTGTGAACAGAATTGAGAACAGTTCAGGATCAATTGTGAACCCAAAGTGATAAAATGATAGCTTATTACTAACAGAGTGTCAGGGCGGTACTAGCAAATATTTGCCAAAGGTCAGTACAAAAACAAACAAGGAGGAATGTCCCCCAGTAGCTTGAGCAAGAGAGGTTAGTACAGGTAACTAATTTATAATCTGGCACTTGAACCAAACTGGTTTTAGTTGGAATTTTGCCAGCTTTTGTAAAGTAGTCAGCAAAATACAGACCAGGTAAGAACCAATCAGAATGTTCAGAGTTATCTCAGGACTACCCAGCATAATAATAATAATTATTGCATATTACATCACCTTTATCTTTACAGGAATCATTTGCCCTAAGCTCTGCCAGCCTCTGACGAATTGCCTCATCAGGATCTATTGAAGAATTTTCATGTTCTAAAGATTCAGCTCTTGTAATGACTGTTTTTCCTAATCCATCTTGTGGATCACCTTTCTGAAAAGTAATTCAGAAAACTTTCATCAGTTTGATTTCATTGTTTTTATATTGCCATCTTCAAAAAATGCATTATTTCTCAAAAATAACTAGTATCAAAAGGACCAAATCAATAATGAGTGTAGACTGTCATTTACCTCACAAGTGCTTAAAACAGGTCTGTTAAAAGTAGTGTTTTTGTTCAGGTCATTTAAGTCGCTTCTATCTCTGGTTTGAGTTTGCTTTTGTGAGTCTCTGTACCAGAAAAAAAGGAAAAATCCATTCAAAAACCTTCCTCTTAAGCATGAGCCTAAGATTATTTTTAATGAACATGAATTAAAGTGTACACTCCCAGTCATAATTAGTTGGGACACTTCTCCAGAACAATGTCTTTGATTTTTTTTTGCCTTCCTCCCTCTCCCAATGTTGTTAATTACCAATAATATTATATCCACGTCATCTTGCAGACCAACATTGGCTGGGGCAGGGGAGGTAGTTAATTTTCCAAAAAATGTGTCTAGTAGTAAAGGTAATCGAAGGAAACGACCCTTATTCAAGACATGGCAATTAACTTAATGTATGACTGCCCACTTTCTTCTAATATAGTGAAATCTTATGGACTCAGAACCAGTTCACTTGAGTTTTGGTACTAGGTAAAAAATCGAAACTCTCTGCTTATGACGATGTATATCTAAACTGCAAGATATGACTGCAGAAACACAACAGTTTTGTAGATTTAGTTGCAATCAACTAACCTCGTCAAATTCCTGTAGCATTGATCACAGACTTTCATTTTCTTTGATCCATGTTGTGGTAGAATAATTGATTGAGAAGTGCATCCAGAGCAAAAAAGTCGTCCACATTTCTTACATCCATGCTGAGGTTACAACAGACAGTAATAATCAAAAAATAGAGACAAGTTATCGCTCTATGAAACAAATATCTTGATATCGATCAAATTGTCCACAAAAGTGGGGAACCGAATTTGGGAGAAGAATGCATGAATCTTGACACAGTGCACAATAAAGTTGGATCTTATGTAACAGTAAGTTACAAAACTGTACAGCAAACGTAAACTTTTCGTAGTGTCACTAGTACTTTTGAGAGGAGAGCTCACAAAGAAATTTAGTTCTTGTAAGCCAGACACAGGCCACCGTTCATACAAAAACACATAGAATATATCGTGAAAAATAAAGCGCCGAAGAATTTTCATTCAAAGGAGAAATGTGAAACTAACCTCTCGTCTGAAGAAGCCAAATCCTTGTCCACAACCAAAGCATTGTAAACCCGCCATGTTTGTTTTTATTTTGTTGTGAGCCTGCCTTAGCAGCGGTTATGTCAGAATTATGATTCATGTTTTATCCACGGAATGTCTCTATAGCTAGTCATGTCACATCATGGCGGAAGATCGTCCCATGGTCATGGAAAACTAGGAAAACAAGATCCCGAGAAGGGAAATGTGGAAGTAGGAGAAGGTGAAGAAGAAGAGGAAGATCCCTTTGATACTAGGATAAAAAACTCAGGATGTTCGGACCTTCACTATGCTCTGATGGTGGGTAAATAATGTTCATCCGAAGTGAAAGAACCTGCAACCTGCGACGAAACCTATAAATTTGACTTCACCAGGAAATTAGTTTTTGTGGTCGATCGAAAATGGGGGGCGGAGAAGCATGATTTTTGGTGGGGTGGGGGACCCTGGTGATTTTTCCACTGACCGAAAGACAGGAGCAATCAGTTGAAACCTGTATCAAGCGGTCACTCACATGGAATGGTTGGTAACCGCCTAATGCAGGTTAACCGCTAAATATAGATTCCACAGAAAAGGGGTATTTTAAAAAACAATGAAAAGATCTATTTTATGCCGTAATTGATCACTCGATGTACAAAAAACTTGCTCAAAAATACAACTTACATTGATTTCGGGAGAAAAAAAGAGATTGAAAAGTTACGTAACAGATTTTTAAAATTTTATTTGAGTGGTTCTACTTTAAGTGACCATCCAATCCTGGTAGAAGACAATACAAACAGGTTGTTGGGATTCTTGGGAAATATAGTAAAAGGTGACCATGACCATTTGATAGAGGTGACTGCTTAATAGAGATGAAAATTACAGTGATTAACCCTTTAACTCCCAAGATCTAATAATTAATTCTCCCCTCTAACTTCTACACATTTCCTTTTAAATTAGTCATGAGAATTCTGTGTTAGATCGAGGTAATAGCTTAAACCTGATAAGTTTGATTATTCTCATTACATGTTTGCTGGATTATATATGGATATTTTAAGGAAAAAGTCACATGTTAATCGCCTCCAGTAGTTATAGGGTTAAGGGGAAGGAAATCTGGGACTTTGACAACTTGCTGCTTAATACAGGGTGACCACCTAATATGGTGCTGCTTAATACAGGTTCCACATCTAAATTTAGCTTACTTGTGTTATCTTAAAAAAAAACTGTTTGTTTACTAACGATCTTCTACATACCAATGATTTCAGATAAGGGTTTATGATCTGAGTCGCTGGATGGTACCTTAAAAAAATTGCTTTGCTTAGAGCCCTGGGTCAGCTAGAACCAGAGAGACATATTAAGTTTTTTGTCTGCATTATGTTATCTCTTCAAGGATTGTATGGATGAATATAAAGACTGGAGAAAATGCCAAGACCATGTAAAAGCTTTCAAGGCATGCATTGATAAGCAGAACAAACAGAAGAAGCCTTAGTTGGTGAAGGGTATGAGCTGATAACAGATCTAGATCCCAAAAACCTCTAAGCAACGACTCTGACTCTTAAGAGATTACATTGATGAAGAATTTGTGAAAATGTCTCAACCAAGAGGAGAGCCCCAGAATTCATGGGAACACTTGATATTGGATAAAGAAAATGCTTTCTTGCTTACACAGTAAAACTACCATAGATAGCAATTCTTTATTAATTATGCAATTGTATGGTTTAAGTAAGAAAGTAGATAATTGTATGCTAAATTATGCAATTTTTCTTCAAAATATTGACAACAGGTCAGCTATCTCTTGGTTTTCTTTTCATGGGCAGACTTGCTGTCCGGTTTAAGAAGAGTTGACAGATGTATCACAGAAATTAAAATTTTTTGGAGGATATACCTGTTTCTATGTGTTAATGAGATGACTCTTCCTTGGTGGTAGGCCTCAAGCCATCTTAAATTTTACAATTTTCTAATTTCTGGAAAATCTAAAGAGTTGCCAGAGAAAACAGCATTTGGTTTGGAGGTGTTAGACCTTTAACAAATTTCTACTCTCATAATGAAGTAGTGTCGAGATTGAAGAACACACTTGACTACACTTTGCCAATAAGCTACACTCATGAAAATAAAAGTGACATGATGCAGCCACTGTTAAACTTTGAGCCCTAAGAGTGACTAGCATCAAATTTCTCCTCCCAATATCATCACTGAATCACACATTAAGGTCATGCTAATAAAGGAAATGATCACCAACTAAGGAAGCTCTTGATTGTTAAAGAAATTCTCCTTGTCAGCACCTCAGCAAATGTATGGAGAACAGTATGGAGAATATGCATACTGAGGTTAGGGTGTTAAGGGTTGATAATCACTGGTAACAGACATAGAGGAAGTTTTTTTATTTGGTAAATGAAGTTGAACTATTCAAACTTTGCTTGTCTAAAAAACACTAAACATCACAAGTATCTAGACTTCGTTATCTACTACTTCTACAAAGACAGCAGTGAAACTTCTGCGCATGTGCAAACGTTGTAATGAAACGAAGATTTCAGGCTATTACAACCAAGTTGTTTTCCAAAGTTACAAACTACCGCACAAGCCAGTTAGTCACGGTGTTTTAGAAGCGTATAACGTTTTTTGTAAAGTTCAAAATAGACTAGTAAATCAACGGAATACCCATTGAGTGTTCCTTTCCCGTGATTCCCATGAACGCTTAGATTTTCTTTTGCATCGTTATTTAGCGAGACGGCGGTTTCTTATGTATTCCTTAGAAATTTTGCGCGGGAAATTGGTGCGTGTGCGCTCAAAGTTGATCCCCTTGCACATGCCCCACGTTTGACCACTGTGTGACTTCTATGTCATTAAGTGCACTTCTCATGTAGTTGGTGATATATGCAGCTATAGAAAGCGTGTACCCTGATTATCAAATAAAATGCTTTTCACCGAACAAAGATGTAACCCATCACTTTGATATTTTTTTCTCCATTGTCTGCATCATGAGCGGCCCTATTTCCACATGTATTTGGAACCGTGCCTGCGCAACCAAAGCCAATTCTAGATTCACAGGTCCCACAGTCTCCTTCATTATTGGCAATCAAACCAATTCTCGCCTTCGAATTGTTTGAATTCGGGTGTAGGTTGAACCCTTCTGCATTGCAGTTGTTTTGCAAAGAGGCCTCTGCACCAATCAGCGACTTCCATGCGTTGCGACCAAGTGAAGTGCTACGGTATTGCCCATCCGCTATCAAAGAGTATAGAGATTCAGCCGGCTTATCGATCAAGATGAAGTTGGTTTCATTGCCGTTCTTCATGCCGAGGCATATCGAGCTGAAACTTGTGTTCCAGTAAGTTGGTAGCTTGGTTTCCTGCTCGTCAAATCCTGTCATCCCCGCAAAACTGTCAAACTCCACCATATTACTCCAGAGATCGGAATCATATTGGAAGGTGTCCTGGAAAATAATGACATTATCAATTTACAACAGTTTTCTGCAATGGCGGCTTTGATGTAAAAAAAAAGAGGATTATCATGAGTTTTACCTCACGACGAGTGTATTGTGGGCTCCGAGAAGAGACAATCAATTGTTTTCCGTGACATTTTCTAATCAGTTGCGTGGCAACTAAGCTTCAATAATCAGTATCCAGGATGAGGAGGCTGAACCCCTTAACTCCTGGGAATGACTAACTTCTATATTCTCCTTACAATATCACCACTTAATCAAGCATCGAGGTCACGAGAATAAAGGATGATCTTCTTTAATGATCACCCATTAAAGAAGTTGTTAATTGTTAAAAATTCTCCTTGTCAACAACTCAGGAAAGCATGGAGAAAAGTATAAAAACATGCATACTGATGTTAGGGTGTAAAGAGTCAATCAGTTGGGTGACTGCTAGGGTGCTTGGATCGGTATCCAGGAGTATGGAAGCCCTAACACCCCCCTCCCCACCACCCTCCAAAAGGTTTTGATCGTTCCTTTTTTGAGGTTTTTTTATAAAAATTTTTTTTTTTAATGATAACTTAAACTAGTTGGAAGCAATGCAAGCTCTTAAATTTTTAAAACTTTTTTTAATCGCGTTTGAACAGCAGACGTGTTCAGGTAGTTTTCAAACATAGCCCCTTATCGTAATTTCCGGCCGATTACCCGCAGGTAATCTGTTAATTTTTCCTCAAACAGTTGTTAGTGCGGGTTATAGGAAGGTGCGGGTAATACGATAATTTTAAAAACTTCCGGTATAGTTTTAAAACCATAGGCAGGAAAAAAATAGAGATGATAAGATCTTATAAAGATACTCTTCAAAACAACCTGTGCAGTAACTCATTTATTTTGCACAGATCGCCCATTATATCATAGACTTTTATGCTCTCGATGAAAGCCGGTGTAAATCGAAAACAGTTCTACAAAACTCGTTAACAAAGCTTTTATCTTGTTTGTACTCTTACTTTCTTATCTTGTCAATTTCTCAGCTTGTTTGTTTATTTAGGTAAAAAAATTCTCACTTACGCGGGTAATAAACTTAAAAATAAAAGAATTTAAGTGTGAAAAAGCGGGTAACACATCACTCACTCTAACATCTAACAACACCTTTGGCAAACATTGAGAGTACTTTTCGCTTGCCTCCTAACTCGTGCAGAGGTTGAAATAGGCACGCTATTTAAAATCAGTATATGACCGATATTTTTAATCTTATCTCTGAAAACTACCTGATGAAGTCTGCTGCTGTCAGAAACCGTGCGTAGGAGACTAAACCCAGAAAATATAGTCTTGAAAGTCATAGTTTCCAAAATCTCCAAGACTCTGATAATTCCACATTCATCAAACCGATCTTTTTTTGGGAAGAAAAGGATGCATAGCTACTTAATGCTTAACAAGCTACATCGCTTTTAAGTATTTAGAGCGGTTCTCAAGTGGATGTCGAAAGTTTACTTTATTTTGCTTTGCTTTACTTTGCTTTGTTATTGGTCCAGAAAACTTGCGCCTTTCTCTCAACCAATCAGATTCAAAACAAAAACCAATCACGCCCGCTTTTTCCCGCGCTTTAGACAGTTTTGTTGTTTGGACTTTAAGTTCTCATTGATCCTTAAAGGTAGTTTCCTTTATTTTGATTGGCATTTGTGAATACTTGGCTTTGGTTTTAGGACACTCGATCCCAAACGGTGATTTTATTTATGAATATTCACCTTAGAACCATTCATCTTCATAACCAGAGTCCAACCGCCGCTTCCACATGCATTGAGCATAGTAGTCATCTGACAGTAAACTGGATAAATGCCTGATCCAAGCTTCAAAGGATAGGCTTAGTCACTAACATTGCTTTCGAAAAAAGTTAAAAAACTGTACTTTTAAAAGTTAATAAAGCACAATGAAAGAGTAAAAGATCAAAGGGTATCCCCTTTCCAATTTAATACAGTATTTTGGCCAAGCTGATGAAAAACAGACACTTTTCAGGAAGAGAAGAGGATGAACCACGAATGCAGTTATTCTAAGTAGAAATGATTTCAATAAAATGATGGCTGTATCATTTACCTCAAAGTAAATTTGTCAAATATGAAGGCTTAAAATTGATCTAACGCGTTTACTTCAAGAAGTGCCTAAGACTGACAGAATTTCTCCTTACAATATCAACACAACATCAAGCAGACGAGAATTAAAAAAAATATCAATCAGGGGATTATTATCTGATCCAATATCAAATTCTCCAAGCTAACAAATGGCATTCAGGAAGGTGAATTACTAATAAGATCTTAGGAATAAAATGGCTCAGGTACTACCAACAAAACTGGTTTGCTTGTGAACCTGCTCTCCCATACAAAGCTTAGTTTTGGTTAGTTGAAAGGCAACGAAATTAAAGCGTAACATCGAATTGCACCTCACCTAGAGATTTTCAACACTTTTGGGTGAATAAACGCTACTTACTTGTTCTTATACGTATTGTATTCATATAGTTCCATGCAGCTCCTAGAATCTGGGTTAAGGAGAAAAATATATCTCATATTTTTAAGGAAGTAAATATGTCCGATGAATTTAATTCCAATTCTACTTATTTTGTTGGTTCTTGGCATCAAAAATGACGATGAAGATATTTACTGAGATGAGGTTCTCCAAACTTTACAGTGTGGGAATAACTGTCTACAGTGAAGGGGCTTTGACAACTTTTTTCATAAGTGGCCGCTGGTGGTGTTATGGAAGATGTGCCTGAAAAAGAGCCGTAAGAGGCTTGGGAATGTAATTTCCAGCATTCTGGGCATAAAAAAGAGTGTTGTTTGCAATAACCTTTGCTGATTCCTCTGTAATTTGTCTGTTAGTCCTGACCATTGTCATAATGCTACGTTCGTGGATAAACTCAGAAAATTATAAATTCATTTTGCGTCGTGCGAAAGCCCACAGGAATCCCAAACGTGGGAGTTTGGCCGTAGGCTAAACAGACAGTGGTAAACCACCAATGATCAGCTTTTTTGATCGAATCTCCTGCCAATTTGGAAGAATTTGGCGACAATGGCAGAAAAACTGGGCTGACGTCATATTTAAAGGGTGACCAAAAAGAGAGGTTTGAGGAATGACATGACAAAAAATAAAACAAGAAATTGAAAATATTAAAAAAGTCCGCCGCAACCCATTCTCCGTTTTTCCAGCCAGCAGGATGCTTTGGGCCAGCTATTTAAACAAAGTTTAGCCATTGTTTATTAAAACCGCGTTCTGAACATTACTCAAGTTTTCTGAACCTATTATCTGACATTTAATTTTGTGAACAGTGTCAAAATGGCCAAAAGTTAACAGTGGAAGGACATTTATTTCGTTAAATCAACCCTCTTTAAAAGAGAGAGCGTAAGGCCCACTGATTGCTTAAAACCGTGATTTGGGTTTGACCTCGTATAAATAACCGGCCCTTTTAATCTTGTACGTTGTAGCTATGTGTTATTTCTGGGACCGATTTAATTCTCGCACAAGATGATGGTATTTACGGCGTATATTACAGCAAAAATGCATGAATACATGTATACACATTCCAGAAAATCAGTTGTATGCTTCTTGAATTTAGAAAAAATATTTGTTTTTTGAAACTTGAAATAGATCATTACCTTATTTCAAGTAAAGTTTGCGGTGTAAAATGCCTCAACTTACATAATTTTAGGAGAATTCTAGAAGATATAATACTGGATCCATTTGCTTTTGTGGCACTTTTTTGTTCAATCCAAGATGGTTTGTTGTCTCCTGCGAAGCCAATAAGAGCATACGACTCCCTCAACTTCACTATGACGTCGGGATCACTTGCGCCCAATCTCTTAAGAGCGTCGATTGCTGGTGATACATGTAACGAACCCTCGTCTCCAATGGCCACCAAAACGATGTAACTTAAAACTGAATAAGCATTTGACTGGTTTATTAAAAGAGGCTTGTAAACTAAGTCCAAAATAATAAAAAAAATGATTCCAGTTTAGGGACTGGTCATTAGCCTTCGAGAGGAGGGGTAGTTTGGGGGGGATTTTGGTTATGCCACGATAATATTAGCCTGACCCCCCCTCCCCCCCGCTCTGTAATATCCTTATGATTTCCCCTCATGGGCAGTTAGTTGACAGTCAATTTTCTATAGACCCCCTTTATACTCTGTTTGCGATGACTTATCCCCCCCCCTTAAAATTCTCCAACCCCTTCCCTTTCCCAGGCTATCACTAAATCATTGGTTCCTTACATGATTTAATATGCAGGTGAATAAAAACACGCAGATGAAGTTTTTCTAGGTCATGGCAAGAGTATGATGGTGTGATGTGCATTCCTGAAATGTTTCGACAATCGCAATGCACTTTCAATTCAAAAAGGGTAATAAAACTACATATGTCTTTTGTTGGCTCAAGAGAAAAACAGACATCTAGGTTAACTCTCGACCCGACCCGAACCAGTCTCTCTCTCTTTTTGAGTCCGCTGCCACGATCGCGCTGTCTTATTGCCGCGCTCTGCTTCGATGAGTGAACCCATGCAGCAGGCTACATACTTTCCTCTTATGGCATTGAGATAGTCCCTGAGGCGAACGCCTTCGGACTGACTTCCATGGGTGTCGAATGCACGGCTGGGTAACACTTGACCTGAACGAAATTGAATTAAATTAAAAAATGGAAGATAAATGCCGAACCAAAATAAGACTTTAGAAGTTCAATGTTCTAAAACAGACAAACCTCTCTTTTATCACCAACATTGGATCAATGTTAGTATCTGAGCAACTGGGCACCTACCTCTCCTCTAACCAAACGTTAACCCTAACTTGTTATCAGTTGACGATCGCTGGTTTAAGGGAGGCGTTGGTACGCAGTTGCACGATTGATCCCATATATTGTGCGTGGACACCTTACCTGTTGCTCCCTGCACAACAACGACATTATGTCCTCTCCGTTGTTGGGAGTATTCCGCTCCATTCACTTGGATGTAAGCTTTTGCCACATACGCCTGGCGCGTTATCTTCGCAACCTTCGCTTCGGACGACAACATGAATGGCAAGACCTTCAAGTAGAGAAAGATGAAGTCACTTTACTGAAACTTATACTAAGGAAGGACGCATGACTGGGCGTTCCCCATGGATGAGCTGCTTATCCATCGCAAAATTACCCCCAGCATTTTATACACCCTTTAACTCATAGAAGTGATTGACATGTGACTCCTCCTTGTACTATTCATACATTATCCAGCAAACATGTAAAGAGAGAACTCAGGCTTATCAGATAGAGCTTTTTATCTTGATGTAACACCAATTCTCGTTACTGATTCACAAGGAAATGTGCTTGTTGCTTGTTGCTTGTTATATTTAGTGCAGAGGTCAACTGCTTCAGAGAGGAGTCCAGCTTTTGAAGCTAAAATGACAACATGATTAGAGATCCCATGAGTCCCAGTCTTAAAGTTGAAGTGCTTAGCCAGGAATACTTGCACCCCTTAGGGGGAAGGAGGAGATCAAGGAAAGTAATGCAACGTTTGTTTAGCCCCATGTTAGCAATTTATGGTTTGCATGTGAACTGTCCGTACGAAATTTCTATTTCCATTTGGACGAAAAAATCGGTAATTGTTGGTTGCTACCTTCCTTTTTTAATTTTTTGGTTTCAGTTGTCGTTGATTTGGTCGGTGTCTAGTCTTTTTTGTATTTTGTGTCATTTTGAAGGTTTTTTTTTAATTTCACTTTTCATTTGGCCTCTTAGTGGCCGGTTGCCTGGCAAGTTTGCACGTTGCTTAGCAATGTAAGCTCGTTAGTTCAATTTAGTCGATTGGGTGTTAGTTGGGGCCCTGGGAGGGTTTTTTGGTTAATTTTTAACCCTTTCACTCCCTAGATCTCATAAGTAGTTCTTCTTTCTGTCTCTCATACAATTCATGTGATGTTAATTCGGAGAATTTGGTATCCAATCAACTTATAATTTCCTAATTGATATTTTTCTTCATTTTCGTCATCGTCTTCTTGATATCGTATTGATATTAAGAAAAATGTTTTTCATCTTATCACGAGCGTGAGACAAAGAATAAATTCCAAAAAATTGAACTAAAGGAGCTGAAGTTGTACAGGATAAAACATGGACTGTTGGACCACTTTTGAAAGATTTTTTTGACCATTCTTTTGGACCATATTTTGACCATTTTTTCTTACTTAATCGCCAATATTGAGCTCTGTATCTTTATTGAGGTGATTGGGGTGGGGAGTTTGTCATAGAGGCTTTTTATGACCGCAGGTTAATCTTCAACTGACACCCTTACATCAGTATACATATTCTCCATACTGTTCTCTGTACATTTGTTAGGGTGCTGACGAGGAGAATTTGTTTAAGAATCAAGAGCCTCTTAAGTTGGTGATCCTTTCCTTTATTTTCATGACCTTAATGTGTGATTCAGGGGTGATATTGTGAGAAATTAGATGCTAGCCACTCTTAGGGGGAAGGGGTCAAAGACATTTTTGGAGAGTTTTTTACCCAAAGAATTTGCACTGATCCTAAAAATGGCCCTAACTGATTAACCTCAAAATCATATATATTTGCTTCCCCCAAGAAAGTGAACACACGTGCTTTGAAAGCATCCTTCATGAAATAACGGAAAAATATTGCTGATTGAAAATTATCACATCATAAAAACTTGTAAAGGAGTCATTATGTAACTAACGCCGGGAAGTCTATTCCCATTGCCCATTGTTTAATATTGTTTTAACTCTAATCGCCTCTGGAACTGCAAAATATGTATATTCCTCGCTAAGCCTCATCCCAGACTAGTTATGTCCTCTTCCAAGGCCCTGAACTTGTCAGGATCGTTTATAAGCTGCGCTGCAGTGGATAAAACGATCATTAAATGCTAGTTATAGGAAAGCATGCAGGTTACATAATAATTATAGGAAATAATGCAGATACATTGGATTAGCAATAGTTAGCCACCCACTAAATAAAAAGAATGAAATCTTTTAGGAATTAAAACATTTTCAAAACTGTCTCCCTTGGCGGAAAGCCTGTGGCAAACAGTGCTAAAAATCAATAATAATGTATATCAGACCTCCATTGTATTGCCGATGTCGTTTTCATGGCAGCAAAAGAAAACATATCACTGTGGCATGCAAGTATTTGCAAATCAAGCTATAGAATAAGTTTGACCTATTTTCCAAAGAAGAAAGGGCCACTGCTAAATCTGTGGGAACGTGGAGACCCAATGTTTGATGAGCGAGAGATCATTCTTCGCCTATCAGTACCGAGTAAGCTTCAGTCCTAAAGCATAGTTGTCGATAGAGCTTAAAGTGAAATGGACTGGTAGCGAAAACGAAAAATCTTTTGCCTCCTGTGAGGCTCGGGAACTTTCTCTGTTTAATTTATATCCAGTAGGTCATGATGAAGGGAATTAAAATATTATCTCTTAGTCTGGCTTTTATCCACAAAGCAGCTTGTTTGAAAAAAAAAAAAAAAAAACTGAATCGAAAACAAAACAATGAAGAGAGCTGCGTATTTTTTTCAGTTGTCAACCTCTTTCAGGCATTTTCAAATATTGCAGCTGTTTCGTTGGAATGATTTTGAATCAACCAGTGACCTTTTGAAGTGCATTGTACTTACAAAATTTGTCACCTGCTGTGCACACAATTGCGTCACAATTGCATCACAATGAATGATTTGCGTTCAGAGATGCTTCTTTGAACCATGTCATTAGTCAGAGTTAATTTAAAACAGCATGGATCTAGCTTAATGCGCGAGCTCGAACCCGCAGGCAATTTAAAAACTTAATAAGAGATTCTCTAGATATAAAGAGTTCTACTGCAACTAGTTATGATTTGAAAAATCCGTTCCATTTGTGAATATTACTGATTTTAGACGTCGCACCTTGCAAGTGTTCTCATTTGAAATCCACTGAATTTAATGATAAGGAACGATTTACTTATCAGCCGCTCTCAATAGCAACAGACCAACTCGCACCCAACCAATTACCTAATAATTTTCTAGTTGTTTATCTTGAAAGTATAAAGTTGTTTGAAAATATGAAATATAATTGTTCATTGTGAAGTTAAAAGCCTTTTTCCCGCTGTCATTGCATTTGTGATTTTGACAAGTTGGTGGTGGCTTTGATGTCCAAAGGAAAATTTTAAACCAAAAATTAAGTTTTAGGCGTAGGCAAGTCGACGGTGTTTATAAAATTTTACATGAAAATGATATGAATTAGGGATCGAGTTGCAGAAATAATTTTCAATTTGGTTATGACTCGGCCACAGTACCTCTACACAGATGCGAGCCTGCATCGGTGTTCCCTTCATTTTTTAAAATTAAATTTCGTTTTTTTGAGCGAAATTGATTTTTGCATTTAAATGCAAATTTCGTGTAGATTGTGCGTGGTTCTATTGATAGCAAATGTTTTGAAAGCGCTGTCAAAAGGAATAATAAGTCAATTAATCTACAGAAAAACATGCTCAGAGACTTCCTGTGGAGATCATTAGATAATCTACAATTACTGGAAAATTTCTCCCGCGCTCATTGGTGGAACGTCAGTTTCCATCAGTTGGAGATAGTGATTTGACCTTATTCTAAGTCACTCAAGGGTGCTTTTAGTTGCTACATTCAGCCATTTTAAGTCCTAAATGTAAAATTTTTAATTGATATATTTTTTTCTACTGTATACGGGAAGATTTCAACGCATGTGAGGGCTAAATAAACGAGTGAAAGTGAGCGGAGAGATAAAGAGGAACGGAAGTGAAATAAAGAGTTGCACAAGCCTTCAAATTAACTGACAAAAATATCCTGTTCAGCAGAGAAAAAAAGTGAGAGTTAGCCGGACATGAAAGCCCGTGCTTTTATCATAAAATTCTTGATAATCAAACTAGAGGCCCGGCGTTGCTTCAATACGGTCGCCAAAACAAGGTTAGTAACGCTTTTTTCCTCGTTGGTTTAATTTTTGTTCAAATAATTGGCCTCGATCGAGACTTGCTAAAAAATTTTTTTTTTTTCGGAATATATATTTACTGAATTTCAGATAAGCTTAGCAGGGTATTTTGCGTCAAGCAAACATAAATTAATGGCTTAAAATGCTTTTTAAAATTCTTTTTATTCTTTACTTTAACTTTGGACCACTTCCGAAACATTCGCAGATGGTACCGTCAATCTTTTGTTCCGCGGCCTTAGCAACCGTGCGAAAATGACCTTCGGTGGAAGCGAACACCTCCAATGATCTCAACGCTTCTTATATCTGTTAACTAATTTGCAGATCTATGTCGACGTCTCTCGTTCACCAAACCAATCGATGCTCACGCCCTAAAAGGTCACGTGATCAAAAATGTTACATTAACCGTGGGAACGCGCAATTCTTGTAAAGGACTGTGTTTGATGGACAACATATGTGACTCATTCAACATCGGTCAATCAGTGCATGGTGACCACGTGGTTTGTCAGTTGAGCGATTCCGATCACTCAAGGCACCCGGAAGACTTAAGGCCACGAGAAGGTTTTACCTTCATTGGTACTAAGGTATATGGAAAGAAGATACGAAGCGCCTTAAGTTGGTGGTTTAGGAAGAGGAGAGTTATGAGGGTTCTAATATCTAACAGAGAGATTTATTCTAGTTTTGTGTTATAAAGGAGTTACTAACTCGGGTCTCAGTTGTTTGTTGTATTCTGTTTGCTTTTTCTGATATAATGTCTTCTTTCAACTCGTATTGCTTCACTTGCCCGTCCGTTATCCGTATTGGCCATTTGGTGAGCTTATCCTTGTTTGTCTTGTAAACTCGTTATAACTAACTCCTGAAGGTTGTTTGTTCATCAGAATCTGTGTTCCAGTAACCCATGTTTCCATAATGCGACCTGCTTGAATGGATTTACAAACAAGAAATACCTTTGCCTTTGTCAGAGTGGCTACACTGGTGAACACTGTGAAAACGGTAACAGTAAGCACACACAATGCCAAACAATTGTTCATTCCTAAGTCGTCCATACAGATGTTTAGATTTTATGGTTTTATCTCGTTATCTTAATTATCTATTTTCAAGTAGAGAAGCGATCTAAGATACTTGGAGGATCGGGTTTGAATCCCATCGAAGCCTGAATTTGTTCAGGCCTTCTTTCATCAGTTTCTTTAATTGATTGTAGCTCAACTGTGAGGATAATTCTTGTGCTTGTATTTCATCCGCGTTTCAAAGAATCATTTTTTTTTTTTCTAAAAATTTATTCATTTATCCATATACAGTGTAGATACATATTCGTGCTTTTATAAATATCACTAGTTATGTTTCCTCTGCACGTGCTCCGCATCAATGGCTTGCACTACCAAGTGTGATTTTTAAAGAAATGTTTGCACAGCGGTTAAAGCAGCCAGTATTCGCTTTCCTTTTGCTAAAATTGTGCCCTTTTGCAAACAGATATTGATGAATGCAGTTTGGGCAGCGATGATTGCCACGAATTTGCGCACTGTGTAAACACCGCCGGCTCCTTTGACTGCATTTGCAAGATTGGACTCACTGGGGATGGACGCAACTGTACAGGTAAGTTCGTGTTAATGTAATAATAACTTTATCTATCCATCCCACCATGTGTTATTCTCTATCGTTCACTAATGTTTTCATTCTGTTTATTTTCTATTCAAGGACTACCTTCTTGTAAAGAACTGCACGAGAAAAACAAGTAAGTGAAAAAATATATAAAAATAAGGGGAAATGTAGCACTCGTGCCCAGTGCCTCATCCGTGCAGAGCTTATCCCTGTTTCCGTTACGTGAACAAACCAGGAGTATTTCTATTTCAAGAATTGAGTCAATCGCAGGTTATTCCCTCCTCCAACAATTTTTTTTAAGCTTCCATCATTACGCTACCATGTTTCGCACAAGTGAATAAATTACTTGAGAGGAATCCACTTTGGAATGTAGTTTCCGACGATTGATAAATTTTTTCGCTGTCCATTTGTAGAGGACAATATCATTGTTTGAAACTACGCGGTGAGACAAAGGATACTTTAGTCATGACTTCTTTGTTAGCTTCTTTTACGTGACTGAAGGTGAGGTGATTACGTTTGATATGCTTGAAACTCTTCTTCTTTCTCTAGTGCTACTGGTGACCAAGCATACATGTTGCAGATTGGATCAGGGATGGTTTACATGTACTGCCATATGACGGGCCTCGGGCATGTGGAGGTGGTGGATGGACGCTGGCCATGAAGATCGACGGTAACAAGGTGATACTCAGGACTTCGTAATCAATACAGCTCAATATTCGTTGAATAGTTTAAGATCGTAACAGCTTTGACTTTAAGTATGGGCATCACCGGTGTTAGAAAAATTCATTCATTCCTACAACAAAGCAAACCGAAACACTATCGGAAAGATAAATCACCTAAAAAAAATAGTATTTCAGCCCTGTAAAAAAACAGAAATTATTCGTTGTCACTCATGTAGCATTTTACATTCAACTGGCTCATTGCTCTCAGTGGCATGTAACAGTGGCCTTAACAGGTCCTTCTAAATCGCTTCGTCCTGGGCTAATCTTGCAGCGTTCCGAAAACCAATACCAACACTCCGAGTCTCTTCTAATACCATTCTCCTCTGATTTGTTCGCGGACGGCCCCTTTTTCCTTCCTCCTTCTTTAGTCTATATCATTTCGGTTCTTGCATGCGTCATCCGTAGCACATGGCCAAACCATTTCCAACCTCTTTGCCGTAAATAGTTTTCATGGTTTCTTACCTTAGAGCTTGTACATGTAGTGGCCTGGCGTTGGAGAAGTTATGAAGCATTTGTCTCTTTATATATTCCAGAATACCTTTCACTATAACTCCGAACTTTGGAGCAGTGAGGCAGAATACAATTTTCCAGGGGCATAACTGGGTTTGATAACATTGAAACTAAGCTACCGACCTACTCCAAAACGTCTTTTACCAAAATCTGTCTGGGTATGAAGATCGGTCAGCAGATCAACTTCATCTTCATCAACCAACAAGCTGACTCCCTCTACTCCCTGATAGCAGACGGACAATATCGTGATACCTCGCTGGGTCGTGACACGTGGAAATCGCTGATTGGGATAAACTCCTCCATGCAGTTGAATTGTAACAAGGAAGGGTTCAACGTTGTTTCTACCAATATTAGGTTAGCGAAAGCGAGAATAGGAATAATAGGTAATAACGAAGATAATTGCGTGAGTTGTGATTCTAGAATCGGTTTTGGATCAGGAGGAAAGCATGATGATTCAAATTCATGCGGAAACGAGGCTGTCTTGCAGACAGATAATGGTAACGCGCATATCAAGGCCATGGGGTACATTTTTGTTCAGTAGTTTGTAATTATACCAAATTATTTTTTTTACGGTAAAGAGTGTTCTCGTCAAAGCGGATTTTTGACGACTGTTTCTTTTTCTTTATCAGTGAAAGTCGACAATCATATCCTTAATGCCGTCGGTTTCACGCGACGGTTTTAAAGCTGACCTCATTACTACCCTCTCTACATACCCAGGCTCTACTCATGTACCTTCTTGAGCCTCTATAATCTAGCTACAAATTTTAGACACGATTAAAATCACCGAAAATTGTAAAGCTCATCTGATGCTGTGGCCATTTCTTCAAGCAGGAGGAAAATTCACGATAAAAGTTGGCAAGGGCACAGATGATGGTGGACGATATACAATTTAACAAATAAAAAGCCTCGACTGTGCTCTGTTTTGTTGTAAAGCACTCAGGAAGCTGCTGAAGCACGAAAGAAGTTTAAAGGAAACACGAGACGCAGTCGAGTGTTTTCCTACTTCATCTACTTCTATTTTATGTAATATCATATAAATTCACGTCTGAAATAACCAGGAAGGAAACCATCGGATAGAAACCCATGGATATCCTCGAGGAATATGTGATGAACAAAATAATTTATCTATAGGCGAAGGATAATCAGAAAACGCTAGAATACAAAGTAAATACATGAACGACACTGACAGCCATCTTGGCGCTTAATAAGAAACTCATAATTGTTAAGCAGGTAAATTAGTGTTAACAACTGAGTTGACAACGTAAATTGGCCACCGTAAAGGGTAAAAAAGCTGACGTTTCGAGCGTTAGCCCCTTGTCAGAATCGCTCTGACGAAGGGCTAACGCTCGAAACGTCAGCTTTTTACTCTTTACGATGGCTAATTTACGTTTTCAACTCAGTTGTTAACACTAAATTACCTGCTATACTCTCCCACCGACACAGCACCACAGTTTCTTTAGAAACTTACCCCTTTTTCCATGCACTGTTTAATCAAGTTGTAGAGATCGCTGAGTTTCAATATCAATACTTAGATACCGGGGAATTATAACCACCTAGTGGGTTTACTAGTAACCCTAACCGATGACCTGAATGATACGTTTGACAATGCATGATTTGCGTGACAACCTCCCACTAATCCCTAAACGTTAAGATCTTTTGAGTCAAATCACAATTATGCAATAAATGAGCAAACAAAAGCAAACAAAAGGAATCTGTCTATCGTAGAAGTACTGTCTCCCTTTGCAACGCTTGCTGATCTACAGCTTTCCACATTATCGCAAACACTGTTCTTCTGTTTCATGCTTTCCATGATATAGCAGCATGGCGGGCAAAGAAACACCTGTAAGAAATCGGAGAAGGAAAACGTTATCGGTTTGCTTTGTCATTGGTTGAAAGAGCGTGCTCTATGTGAGTTTATATAATAAGCTCAAATACGCACGCATTCTGATTGATTCTCACTTATGATCTATTGGAGGACAGACCTATAGATGACGTCATCATTAAGACTTTTTTTAATTCTTTATTATATAAAACAAATAGATTCCAAGTTTCCGTGCGTCTGTTCAGTAATAGATCACAGATGAAGTCAAAATGTGGTGAGAACAGTGACACACTGTTCTCACCACGAGGCTGCACCTCGTGTGCCACTATTTTGGTTCTCACCACATTTTGACGTCATCTGTGATCTATTACTGAACAGACGCACGGCAACTTGGAATCTATTTTGTTAAATAGAGCATAGAGCTAATCTAAAGCTGTCACGCCATCTGCCAAATTGTACTATGTTTGACCTTTTTGGACTTCTCTCTGGCTTTTTTTTTCGTTAAAAGGAAAAGCAATTTACCAATAGCGTATCTCCACTTCTGCATATAAACCCACACACAACTCATAATTCCTCCAATCGTTCTGACGAAGGACTAACGCTCGAAACGTCAGCCTTTAAATTCTTTACGGTGGCCGTTTTCAACTCTGTTGATAATACAAAATTACTCTGTTTATTACCCTGCTATACTCTCCCACTGATGTAGCGTCACAGTTTCTTTAGAAACTTACTCCCTTTATTCACATGGTTGGATATTAGCCGAGTTCTTTCTTGCTTTTTTATGGACCGAGAAAAATGGTTACTTGACTTTCATTTGTGCCTTTGAATATACAACAGTCACGTACCTTTTGTCGACAAGACCATGGAAACGCACACGAGACGCAGTTTAATTTGGATAATACTGACGTGTACCCACATTTAGGTCGGCGAATCTTGGTTTTGGATGTCACATAAAGAGACTCTCAGCTGTATAGTTCCCGTCCAGTTTGGCCACAAGGTTTCAAAATTGGTAGGATTTTTTCTGCCCCATCCTGCTAGAGAAACCTCTGAGAGCTCAAACGAAACGCAAATACCGTATTTCGTCAAATAAGCGCCCGGGCGCTTATTCAAAATTTTAAACACCTTTGAAGCTCGAAGAAATCTCGGTGTAATACATGAGCTAATAATAAAGATACTAAATTATGATGTCCGTCATATGTATGTCATAATAATAAAGATGCTAAATTATGAGCTCGGTCATATGTAGCATACAGGAGAAAAATTAAGTCCCCATGAGGATTCGAACTTCAGACTTTCGTACACCACCCTCCAATGCTTTACCATTCGAAGATGAAATAAGTCACAGACCATCATGAGTATTCACTAAATATGTCTTTGAAACACACTCACTTGATTTAAATCGAGTGTATGTGTTTTATCAGTGTCGCTTTTTCACACCAGAAATGGAATTATCGTGGAGTCATTAAAAGCTTCTAATTTTCAGGCTTCTGACTTAAAGGAAAAAAAAGCTTTTGGATGACGTAGCATAAAAACTTTCAAACTGTTGTAATGTCTTGCACTTTGATATCAGTTTCTTCAAAATCCAAGTATTTCTCACGTTATCCTGCGGTATCTTTCTCTTTCCTTTACAATTTTGAATGATTGACAAGGCCACGTGAATATATAGAGGTATTCAGTTCAGGCGCGCGCTCGATCATTACACGTCACCTATGAGTGTAATTAGTCTCTATGACGACAAACAAGCCAAGTTGTTCATTTCTTCTTTGCGAGAATGCTGCGTTTGCCGAATGGTTAACTCAGTGTCCATTATGAAGAAGGAAAGAGTTTATATCAGTATTCTCTTTTGTTTACTGATTTGTTTCAGCTTTAACGAAGGTAAGGAGAACCTCTATTTTAATTTGCGCGTGTTCTGCTTGTTCGCGTTTATGTTTCTGGCGTAACGGCTTAATTTTGCGTCAGCACAATCAGGCGTTTTCGGTTTGACTGACAGGCAAGCTATTATAATTTGATGAGAAAATAAAAACGAAAAGCATTTCAAAGGAAAAGCATCAGCAATAACCAGAATGTGTAAGGAAAACGTGTCATAACGCCTCTGGATTCGCTTTGAAGTTTCAGGGTTTTAATACCTTTGAGCAAAGATGATTTAACTCCGGCCCCCAGGCCCCACTCGACCTTCCACGGAGGGCGCATCCTCACATCGGCCACCACCAGAGGGACGCCTCGCAGAACTGTAGACGATGCAAAGGTCATTAACGATGATATAGAAGATATAAAGTCTATGGAATCGGCAGCGAATAACAATCATGCTAACTGGGAGGAAATTATGATGAGAAGAGCTGCCAATGAAGACGTCTTAGAGTACCCCGGTAGCGATAAAAAATTTCCATCAAACTTTAAGTTGAAATCACTTTTAACGCAAGCCATCAAGCGAGGACGAGACATTGCGGCTTCTCAGAAAGCACCTGGTACGGGTAAGATATAGTTGATGATTATTAAGAAACTGGAAAAACAACTTCTTTCAATGCGAGTTAAAGTAGATAAATCTTTCCTAACGCTCATTGTGACTATTGTTTGGGTGGAGAGAGAGATATAAAGTGAATTATCTGTGCTATTGCAGCAGCAAAGGAATTTTGCGAGAACAACAGAAATTGTAAGGAAACATGACGTTCCACCTATGGGCTCTTATCTTTAGACTGAAGTTAAATTATCTTTTAGAAATGATCCAGTAACTTAAAAGTTCTTTCTACAGTGATGAAATGACTTCGGGTCTCAGCTCAAATAGCGATCAGATAAACAGAGAAAACCACATCAGGATCATGCTTTACTTCAATTTTGTGCGTGTTTTGCTGTCAAAGTTGGCGCATGCGTGTTTGCATCAGAACGCGGGTCAGGTTCTAATATCAAAGTCAATGCAAAAGATTTCTTGTTTTCGAGGCTGATAATGGTTTTATCTGTAACCGCTCTTGCTTTGCTTATGTTGATACGGGCGAGATCCTATCAATATTTGGTAAGAACAGGGAAGTCGACTTCAATGCAAATGAAGGTGCACTAGAATGTTCATTGCAAGATTTTTTTTAAGGGGGGGGGGAAGGAAGTGGGGATAGGAAGGAATAAGATCCTAGATCGAATGGACAGAGGAAGTATGCTATTCCTATTTTCACAATGAATACAATTTTATGAAGAGGTGGGGATTCAACTGAGAAGTGAAAAGCATAGTTAATGCTGGATTTGGTTCATCAATCTGTATTCTACGGGGACACTTAATGTCGATTTCACCGGTATCCGTTGCTCTGCTACTCAAAGATGACGCGGGCAAATCATAGGGGCAAGCTTGATTTCTGAGAAATGACCTCAATCTTGACATTGACCCAGATTAGACTTAGCAGTCTGATCTCACTTTAAGTACAGGTTCTTCTCAACCTGATATTAGATATTGGTTGTCTAAGTTCAATCTTGAAAAAAGTCTTAAATTTCTCGTTTAAATAACAAGATAATCCCAAAGACGACACCCCAGGGGAAACCAGAAAGAAATCTTCCGTTCGAGATGAAAAGGAATCACACTTACCTGATCATCATCCCAGGACAAACGGTAACGGACTCGAACCGCGTGGCACATCTACCTTACAAGAAACGAAGAGAAATATCGAGCCCACAAATATGGCGTCTGCTGAACCCCGGTGGAGGTTGGCTGTGGATTATGAAAGCGAGCCTCACCATGAAGATAAAAAACGAAGAAGAAAATATAGGAGGAAAGGAAGACTGGAATCGCAATCTCAGACTAAAAATCCAGCGGATGATGGGTCCTCGATGGCTGTTGTAGGACTTATAGGAGGGATGTTTCTGTTTATGGCGATTGGGGCTGTGTTTTATCGCGTCTGGTAAGCAATATTTTCATCTTTCATCAGTTGGACCACATTTTAGTTAAACATCATACATAAAAACGAAATAGCTTAAATATTACTTTAAGTTAGTCAGCCCAGACTTGTGGCTGGTTTACGGAAACTCTGTTCGTGGACTGGAATATTCATTCCAGTTTGTTCGCTAGTGACTTTTGAAAGTGACTGTCAGTAAAACTTTTACAGGAGAAGTTTTAGGAAGGAATTAGACGAGATCGAGGCAGTCTCGAACAAGGTATGTCATCAGACTCGAAGTGGAACATCAAGCACGACAGGAATGAAAGAAAATCTAAAGGATGGAACGAGGAGGAAGATGAGGAAGATGAGGAAGGTGAACCGAATGTTAGTCTTAAATGAAAAAGCCTAAAACTTCAGGATTATAAAGAAAGTGAGAAAGACAGCGTATAAACAAACAGCAAACGGAAAAAAAATCACCCTATTTGCATTAGATGTGGACAAGATAATTTCATTTTTTTACCATAGGGTTTGTTCGCAGATAGGAAAACGAGTACAACCAACACTCATTTTTTACCGTAAAATCCGACTTTACTCGTCATGTCGGGAATCTTTTATCAGACAATTCAAAGAAAATAGGTGAAAATTTCTTGATCACAGCCTATGAGTATGTGTTTTCTTTGGTGTACAAACAGCTGAAATCAGAGTGGTAAAGTCAAGTGTAGCGAAGCGATAAGTGATATGAAGTAAAGCACAACCAAGCACATCTGAGAAAGTCTCCCATCTAAATTAAATAATATTAACGTAGACTTTGCTCAGTGTATAACTCCTTATTCTTGCTACAGATCGCCCAGGTAAAAGGGTACGATTAAATTTGGAAGTTTCCCAACATCCGCCGCTAAAAGGTATACTTAAAGGTAAGAAAAAAAAAAAAAAAAAAAGAAATAAAGCAAAGCTCGATAAATTCAATTTTGGATCTAAAAAAAACTTTAGCAATAACTCTTTGTTTAATTGTAATGTCCACTTTTACTACAGGTACTCGCAGCCGAGTCGAGCAATTAAATGCGGAGCCCTCCGATTCTTCGCAGCCGACCTCGTTATCATCCCTGTCTGCTCCATCACTGTGTTCTTCCATCGGTACGCCGCACTCCACCCCAACAAGTGGCTGTTCTGTGGAATATATAACCCTCCTCGACTCTCATAAGGATTTTAAACTGAAGCCTTGGATGCTGCAATCCTCTGGATCTTCCTCATCAAGTGATGCGAAGATTACAGCTGAAACAGAACGAGACCTGGCGGCTCCGCCTCAATCGTCCACCATTTCAGGTAAAATAATCTGATTGAAAGCTAACTCCCAGAATGATGGATCGAAATAAGACAATCTTGGGGTAATAAACTACATTCTTAAAAGAACTCATACAATCTCGTTAGTTTGATTTCTACTATTTGTGATATAGCAGCCTCTCGTCAACTGACAAGAATTGTTACAAATGGCTCTACAGGTGGCTCTACAGGTGGCTCTAACTCCTCCTCTGAGTCCTGCAAGACACCAGTAGCTGCCAGCAATGAAGTCATCATCACAATCAACGATGACGACGATTGCAAGGTGCCGTTGTTGTCTTCAGAAAATGAGGGTTCATCCGCTGAAGTGATCTACGTTAGGGACGATTTGACGACAGAAAGAGATGAAGACAATGCTAAAGAGCGATCAGGTGATTGAAATGTAACGCTTCATAAAAAGAAGCAGCGTGACCAATAGATGTTCGAATTTCGAAATCCGTAAGTCTGAGGTTTGAATTATCGCAGGAGACTAAGATTCTTTTCTTTGTCTTTCGCTCGCGACAAAAAATAACATATTTATATTACACGTATGTCTTCTCTGAAAAGGACCACCGGTACATCAACCTTTTGACTGCTCGATGCAGCTCTTTAAATGCAAGTAGTTGTTTTATTTATTGAGTCAATGAAATGTTAGTTTATAATCATCTCTATGGTAATAACACGCTGGGTATGATCTACAGGCGAACCACCCCTGCCTCCTGCTCAGACAAGCCCTCCATCTTATTCGACGGATTTAGAAACACGGGAATCTAAGAGCAAAATACGGTAATTAAATTAAGACAGGTCCGTTAATTGGGGCATAACAATTGACTCCCCGATAGTGAGGTGGTAATTCGTCTGACTTTAAATGATTCACTCAGGAAAGTCTCTGATTGGTGAACACAAAGCTTTGGAGGATCGCCGATCAATCACAAATCTGACGTTCGGTCAAAAATTCTGACGATTTGCATAGAGACCTCAACAAGGATCGGTCCCAGATCCTGGTCAAGAATAAACAGGTTCTCAACAGAAACAGGGAGAAGAGAAGAGTGATTAAAGAGGGAACTAAGATGACAGTAAAATCCTTGGAGGAGAGTGTTTTACTGGCAAAGGTAACTCACATAAACTTTCGGAATGCATCCAAAGTGTGCGGAAATGGTGGTGATATATAAAGCCGCTTTTTTTCTTTGAGAGTATCTCTTGAAAGAGTATTCGAAGGAGGGGGGTACGAACAGTGAAAGTTAGATGGAAGGTAACTACGACAAAATGGCAACGAACACTCTTAATGTCCGATTGCAACCTGTGGAGCAGGTGTAATCTTTTGGCGTTTTCCAACGGGCTTAATAGCCAAACACTTGGTGTGCGCAAGGGTAGTCATGCACGGAAAAGGATCGCTAATCTATTCGTACGTCACGTACATTTTCCAAAACTCTTCTAAAAAACGTCTGACAAATGCCTCTTTTGCAGGTCAGACTTGATTTTTTCCCTGCTCCCACAACATAACTTAAAACCTTTCCACATGGTAATTTGCTAATTTTCTCCTATTCAAGTTTTTTTTCTGTTTTTAGTCAATTATATCGGATGAGGCAATGAACAAGGAACGTGACTTGAGGTGTATCAAGCGTCGACGCATAATCCGTAAATTTTTTTCACTGCGACTTCACACATCTTTATCAGAAGGTGTACCGCTGGCAAAGTCAGTCATTCTACCACGACCTGTTGATCCAAAGAAAGTGAAAAGAGACAAGGAAAGACTTAAAGTTATAAAAAAAATTGTCAAGGGAACATGTCAACCCTTCATTTGAAGACGTGATTCAGATTGTGGCCTCAATCTCTCGCTCGGTCGAGGTTACGAGAGAATTGGAAAAACAAAATGATTTCAAAAGACATGTAAGTATTCTGGAAAAATAAAGCAGATTGGTTGAAAACATATTTAATAAGAATCGATTTCAATTTATGACGGTATCTTTCTGAATCTTAAAAAATAGTCGTTTTTAAGCAATATCACATTTTCATCGTCACACTTCTTGGTCCATATTTAAACGCCCATTTAAACTCGTGGTTTACTCTCTGCCACGACAAGAACAAAACTTTTATTGTGTCTGGTCAAAAAGAGCTCTCGTTGCCGGAATCGTTGTTATGATGACGATGATGATGTTTATCCTGGACTCCTACAATGCCTTATTGTGGTAATTTCCAACGCCACTTTCCTAAGTAGGATTGGTTGTTTTAATCCTCCTTTATTTTAACTGAAATCTCTTTGTTTTACTCAGTTGATTTCCCTTGACACAAAAACCTTTCCAATCAAGAATATGATGCCCACTTTTGAAATGGATATAAAGTTTGTCCGGAACGTGATCTTTGGTCAGTTTGCTTTTGATCATGGCGAAAATCCCCAGATGGGATGTGAGTGCTTTTACTGTGACAATTACTGGAGTAAAGTAGGGGGACCACACTGCTCCTATATACCAAAGTAAGGATGTTTCCTCTTTTATGTTGGGAATTGTCAAAAGGTGAGCGAAAGAAATTTGCCCTTAGCTTCTTAAATTGTGAAAGCTATGCCAAGAGGATAATTTAAGGGAAAGGAATTTGAGGCAATGGAAAGAAAATCAGAAAGAAAGTATAAAAATTTACTTTCTACCACGTTTCGAGATTCCGAAGAGTCATTGAACCGTTCGTCAAATGTGTTGCTCGGTCATGGTAAAACTTGTTATTTGAGTCAAGGTTACTGGAGTCAAGGATACCTCTTAGTACAGCATCCAATTGTTAAAGTAGATCACCGAGGAGGAATAAGAACGGCCAAGCTGTTAAGCCGATTTAAAATGGCGGCGTCTATGGTCTCATTTTGTAGTATGGTTGAAGACAATTTTCGAGGGGTTGGGTTACTCTACTCTCTTCATACATATTTTTTTTTCAAGTGGAGATAAAAATTATATGGTTTCTGAAACATGCTTCCCTTTCAGCGAGCTCTCTTGAGATTGCATGATCAGTTCAGAAACTGTACCGCAACTCAAATCAAATGGAATCTGTGGGTGAAATCTACTTACAGTTGTATAGAAATTTAATGTGTAAACACAGGCTCGGTTTTGAAGTTAATCGCTTAGTTTTTCGAGTTGGTAAAGATCATTTGTAGATAAGTCTAGCATTTGTTTATTCGCGGAATACGTGTTTTATGTTCGTTCTTTTTTTTATTTTAGGGCTGTCCCCGTAACGGACGATACCTTCGTAATTAATGTTCCAAAACAATCTTTTTCCGATAGTGCAGGCCCAGGAACAAGTATTTGATCAGATGATGCATGTAATTAATGTAGTAATTTATCTCAGTTCCGTATCAGTCTATAATCTTAACAAGAAAAAAGAAGAAAATTCACTTTGTCTAATGCAAAGGGCATGAAAATCTTGACCTTGACGGCTTAGTCAGGTGTCGTTTGCTATCTTCTTGATTTGCGTTCAGTGAATTCTTGCCGGTAAGCATGTTTACACAAAGCAATTTTCAGTTTCGGTATTGCATCGGTTTTACCGTTTCCAAACAACATTTCTCATTTTTCGTGCTCTTTTTGTGTATCTCTTAATGCGTTTCATTTAAGTTTTATTTGTTATTTTTCTTATCGTTTTGTGATGCACTGATGTAAACTCATTTAAGCATGTTACAAACATAATAGACGCCGGAATGATCTTTACGACGAGAAAAAATGCGAAATGGTAGCTTGGTTTTGTTTTTTTTCTTAATGTGAGCCACTCGTAGCAGTTTGTAATGTTTTCTGACGAAGTTTTCAAAGTGAGCTCCGTGAACACCATGGCATGTGTATGAACTAGTTAAAACATGCGTTTTTTTCGGAAGAGCTGGCAAATGGACTACACTTGGGTCAGATGGAAGCATCTGGATAAATTGAAACTTCGTATTCTACAATCAGCACTGCTATAAAAGTATGACTTAGATACATCAGGGGCACTTGGAGCTTTTACACGTGTAATTTACACGGGTAAAGTCCGACTTGTAAATACAAGGATTTAATAAAACAATATTCCACACTGGAATTTACACGTGTATCTCGAGTCAGTGCACAAGTGTAAATTACAATTGTAGAATTATAGGAGGGTTAACCCCATGAAGATCTTCTTGCAAAAAAATGAAAAAAATTTTAATAGACACTGCATTGATAACTTACTGCTTCCGAAATAATTGGCTTAGTCAGAAGCTCTTTGCCTTAAGCGCCAGGGCGTATCGTTGTCACTCCTCGTAAACTATATCAAAAGCAATACAGTTATATGTAAGAATTTGAACCTGAAATGCTTTTTGTGCTGGTATCTCCAATTAGTCTCAGGAGTCATTATTTCGAATCCAGGTTATCTACTGCAGTAAACGTAAGTGTATATAGTACGAGTAAAGGGTACGGAGCTCTATATGAACAAATCATGACCCAGGAGTTCAGTACATTCTGGATGCAAAAAAATCAATACAACATTCTTAGCTCCCCATGGTGGGCTGAAGCTTACTCCGATATAATGCTGTATATTAGATTGCAGCAGTAGTGGTAGGTTGAAACTAAAAACATAAATGAAAGTTAAGTTAGCAAATTTAGACAAACAAATTACAAACAAAAAAGAATACAAACGAAGCGAAAACGGAAAAATACTTACCTTGATAACGCTAAATATGTATATGCAAAAAAAATTGACTGCTAAAACAAGGGAACTGCGCTAAGCGCGACTTTAGGTTAACTGACGTAAAATTGATTATAAAAGAATCTACTGGCTTTAAATACAAGAGGACTGAGAAATAACGTGCGGTTTGAGAAACGTGTGAAAAGGTGTAAGTGACGAAGAAAACGCTAACAAACAATAAAAAAAAAAGCTAACGAGGAGGTATCAAAAAAAACAAAGAACAACAGAAATAAATAAATATGAATCACACGAAAAATAGTCAGTAAGCGCTTAGACCTTACATAAATCCGGCCCCAAAGTGCAGAGTTTGAACGACGAAATTACAATACGTTGTTTACGTAGTGCAGTACAACATGCCATCGGTCGAGAATATTGAAAGGTCACTGAGCGGCCTTTCAATCTATGTTACTAGTTTCCTGTCAAACAGGGACACAACCAACAGCGAAAAGCCCAAGAATCTCTCAATGTAGGAAGACAAAATACCAGTTCTTTTCAAACAGGTTCGATGAAGAATTTATGAAAATGACTAAAACTACCACGATTAACAATTCTTGCCTGTTTCGAACACTCAGCTATCAATGTTCATTCACCTTTCATTCGGCTATCAATTGTCATTGTAAACCTCACCCTAACCCTTGCGATATCAAAACAGATGTATCAATTAAAGTGGAAAATGAACTTTGTGGCGTGCAATTTGTGACTTGCAGCAACGATGCGTTTGACTTCTTCACGGACCTAATCAGTTTCATAATATAAGCTTCCAGGATACAATTTCTTGATGGCATCGAACTCCTGAGGATTTTTTGTTAAACAACTTAACTTTATGGACACTCCTTGCTTCGAACTGCATTATTAACACTCCTCCCATTCTGTGCATAATTTCATCTGAATACTCCGTATTTTTGTGTTTCTGACTCAGTGTACATACTGAGTAGAGGGTTGAGTACATGTCCTATGTATCATTGAAACCCAATATTTAATGGGTAAACGTCAACCTTTCGTTTTCCTTTTCTTTAAAAGATCTTTTTATTTTAAGTACTGAATTTTTACATGGACTTTTTATGATATTTATGTCTAGAAAGCAATCCTTCCTGGAAATTGTTTGTGTTTGCGTTCTGTTGATTTGCTGTTACGTGCGTGAGAGTTAGCTTTTATCATTATCTATTCCTTTAGACTGACAGTGTAAAACTTCCAGAGCGTGTTTTCGAAGAGAAAAGGCCCTGAAATTTGTTGAAACCCTCAGCTATTAATTAGAGCTCTAATTGTCTTCATAGTAAAATTTAAAACTACTTTTCAGATAGAAAACACCTATTCGGGAAAATGTCATGTATGTGTTTGGTCGATCTAAAGATAACGCACGTGAGGTTAGCTTTCATACTTTTTAATGCCTTAGACGGGCAGAATTAAAAAAAATATTGTTTCCGATGAGGTGAAACCCTCAGGAAACAATCAAACAAAATTGTCTACATGTTGAGTTGTAATTACCTGGAAACGTACACAACAACGCGTAAGCAAGACACTGTAGAACTCTAATGAAGGGAAACAATCGGAACTCAAATTGTCTATGTTGATTTTATGATTTTTAACATCATAGACAACAGTACGTGATGAAAGGATCATGACATCGTCGACTTTTACCGTCGTGCACTCTGCTGTCATGCCAATTGCGATGGGGAACAATGGTAATTTGACAGCTACAAATGTCAAACCTAAATGAACATAATGCCCAGACTTTCCAGTGTAACACAACCCCTTGACTTTGGGGCCAATTGGTTCAAGGTCAAGTTAAGGTGAAGGCGTGATAGGCAAATTTATAATCAAACCTGTCAGTGCTTTAAAGTCATTTTATAATTGCAGGTACCACGTTTCATAACGTTTGAAATGACTGTGGTTGGTAGGGTTCTCATGCAAAATATTTTAGCAGAGAGAAATGTCAACAGAGCGTATGGGAAAAAATTCCGAATCCATGAGGAATAAAACTCAGACCTTTGAATTTCGCTCTCCGATGCTCTACCACACTGAGCAGGAGGCGAAGGGGTTACCCTTATTTCGTTGAGTTGTTGCCATGATAATTTGTTGTCATTGTTCATCACGTAATTAGTAATACGTAACCGAACGGAAGTACAAACAA